CGACTCGGCTATTGATGCTGATCAAAAATATAAAAAGTTGATGGGGTCGGAAACGCTTCCTCTTGTGCGTTACATACATCCACTTTTGTGCACCTGTACAATATACCATATTTACTCTTCGAGTACCGGGTATAAAAGGTAGCATTGAATTGTCCAAATGTCCACCTGCCTGATTGCGCTGCCCTTGACGCCGCCCATACAGGTTTAAAAGGTGGTTTTTTAAAATGGGTGTGATGGTGTGTGTCAGGAGTCAGTCAATGCCAGTAACCTGATTGAAGGTAAACGCGGCACACAGACAGCAAAGTGTAGATTGTTTATCTAAAATATGGTTACACATTTAATGGGTTTATTTATTTCATGAATATAAAAGTAATCCGCTTTTATGATAAATAGCAGGCATTCGCCTGCTAAAAAGTCCCTCAGAGTACTGAAAGAATGAGTGAGTATAAGTGTATGGTATATAAGTATTTAAGCCAAAATATTAAAGCATCAGCATTCGGTTAGGGTAAAAAACAAACCTTAAACCCAAGAAAAACTACTCGGATTTCATTGTTGTCTGGGTAATAAATTTATTTGAATATCTATATATATTTTTTTTTTTATTTAATCGCTACAGAGAAATTGGTTCGTCGCAGGCGATGAGTCCGCATTGACCAGTCACTTCAGTTTATGTTGCATATTGAACTCAAAAAAGAGTTGTTTGCCGAACGAACACAAGAAATATAATCATATTTGCATATATATGAAGTTCGTTTGACTATTTGTTGGGATTTTCTGGCAGCTCCAGCTTGGGTTGCGTCACTGATTCGTGTAGTGCCAGGTCCCTTTTCTCATCACTGGCCACACTCTCGTATTGGCCATACCAGAAATTGCGCAGCACGGGGCTAACCAGTTCCTTATCCACCAGACGAGGATCCTGTCGTCCAAAGAATAGGGTGGCCAGGAGGGAACCGACTAAGGTGCCCACCGAGCCAACTGTTGTGTACCACAGAAAAGAGATCTCATGGATGCTGAAACTATTAGCCTCAGCTGTGGTGCTGTGATGGAAAGATAAATGTAACTAAGATGTTTCCTTCTTGAAACAATTTACATACGCCGGTGTGGTGGAATTCCAATTGTCAGGCAAATCGAACAAATAATCGCAATCCTCCACGGAGACGGGCTTTGTGGGGGAACTCATTTGTCCCGTAAATATGGCAATTTGTGCCCTTACCACAATATATGCCGTGAAGGTGGAGGCACAAGATATGCCAGTAAGGAGACTCTACAGTGGGCAGAAGAAACTATCAGTTAAGGCACAGGAAATCACAATCAATCAAACCTCAGTTTTAACAATCGGCAGCAGCATTCCCACACTGAAGGCACCCAGCAGTGGACCACAAGTGATGGCCGCCACTGTCGAGGACAACTGCATGACGAGGCCAAGTTTCTCCACAATGGGAACACTGGCCATTGACAGTAGACCAAAAGCCACCACCACGCCTCGCAGCACATAGGCAGTCTGCCGCTCAGTAAGCGGTTTCTTGCGGAAAGGCTCCACAAAATCTGTGAGTATCACACCCGACAGAGAGTTGAGCGCCGTCGAAAGGGAACTCAAAGCCGCACTAAACACTCCAGCCACAAAAAGACCTACCAGACCGGAAAAAGTGCCAACACTTTTCATCACATATAAAGGTATAACTTGATCCTTGGCACGAGCTAGCTGTGGGATGGGTAACATATGCTAATTTCCTGCACGAACTGGTACTCGGAATGCTCTACTTACACCCGTAGTTATGGGATCGCAGTGATAGAATTCCGCAAATGCCAGCATGCCAATGTAAACGCACATCAGCAGGACAATCATGAAGCCAGTTAGGGATAAGAAGATGGCCTGTTTAACCGCTCTAAAGTTGGGCAGGGTGAGATATCGTTGTACAATGCTCTGATTGATGCCATTCGCTTGCAGTTTGAAGAAGGCTCCACCAATGAACAACGCCAGGACACCCATACGCACTGTGGGATCTAAGGTGATGCTGTGGGACATTTACGCATTACAAAATTGATGCTTGGGTTACTATCAAAACTTACTCTGGTCCCACCAACCGCTCGAACTGACGATTCCTGTCCAGTACCACATTCAAGCCACCCAAATCCAAGGTGCCCTTGACAATGACAAAAGCCATGGAGCCAATCATCACAAAGCCCTGAATGACATCTGTCCAAACGACACCCTTAATGCCGCCCTAAAAAAACATTATTTAGTGGAGTTAAGTAATGGAGAGACTTTTTTTTAGATAGTTTTTAGCTACTTACCACACTAGTATATAAAATGCAGACCATGCTGGTCATGGGCACTATTTTGGCAACACTTATGCCAGAAACTATTGGGAAAAAAGAAATTTAATGATAAGTCTAGAAATATTTAATTTATTTAATCCACCTTGATTCAAAGTCAATGCCGGCACATAAATGCAAATGGGCTGCCAAAGTATCTGAGAAATAAAACTATTTATTAGTTTTTTGATTGAAATCTTTCCAAACCTTCCACTCACATTCATCACCACAAAAAGACAGGATCCAAAGATGCGAATGCGCCTGTCAAAACGTCTTTCAAAATACTACAAAGAAATGAAAAACAAACAGAGGGAATAACATGGATTATATCGATGAATGCTTATTTACAGAATGAATTGATAAAATATTTGCATAAAGGTACAAAACAATGTGAAATAAAAGTCGTTTAGGCAGGCGCAAATTACAACTCTATTGGTTCCATTTATATTTTAATTCTTATTTTCATTATCAGCAATTGAGCAATTCTTGTGCTTAAATAGGTTCAGCAATTGACATTTTGTTAATTTTTGTTGGGCAGAAAGCGACGCATGCAGGATCCATTTGGGACTAGCTCTCCCAGCCAAAAAACAGGCTAGCCAGCAGGGAAACAGCCATGCAAAGCACTCCACCCATAGCAGTGTAACAGAAAAACGATAAATGGTAAAGATTTCGCGCCGAGGGACTACAGAAAACATTTTATTAGAAAGATGAACCCGTCAGTACTCCATGCTCACCTGTAATCATGAATAGCCCGAAAGACAGTCTCATTGTCTAAGGTGTAGTCACAGCCCTCGACCGAAACGGTCATCTTGGGATGACGTATCTCCCCCTTCATTTGACCTAGTTGTGCATTAATACATATCCAAGCCAGAGCCAAAAATGACACCAGACTACGCACCATGACACTCTGGCAAGGCAGTCAACAAAATTAGATACAAAATTATTTTATATCAGTGCAAATCTCACCTTGCCTTTGACCCAAGGAAGAGCCACGCCCATGCCGTAAATGCCCAAAAGTGGACCCATTGATACAGCCGATGTGGTTGTGGCCAGTTGCACCACATTGCCCAGTTTTGCCACAATGTTAACCAGCCCAATGCAGGAGAAACCAAAGCTAACGACAATCGCACGCAGCCAGCACGGAGCGGCAGCGCTCCGTCAGGGGTTGCCTCAGCAACGGCTGAGCACACATGCTAAGGAATTGAGACCCGTGGAGAGAGAACTGAGTGCAGCACTAAAGACACCAGCCACAAAAAGTCCAGGGAGACCCGGCCACGAGCCCAAAATGCGCATTATTAGCAGGGGAGGAAGTTGATCACCGGCAGTGGCGAGCTAAGGAGGGCGAAATGGAAATTAGAAGAACCTGATTGTTCGGAGCAGCAGCAAATACATAATTCTTAAGATCAGCTCGCCTTGTTTATATTCATACTCTCTTTATAATCTCTTATACTAATATGCTGTTTTCCCAGTTTATAGAAGCGCACGCATATGTATGCACCCTTAGTACTGCTTATATTGCAGTGCTTTGCCCTTTTCTTGTACTAGTCTAAAGTATTGTCGACCGCCGCGCATCTTCAAACTATTTTCTATGTCCAACGCGAACCCGTTATTTTAATCGAGCTCTCAAACTATTGTAAAGTTTAACACACCGAATCATAGTTAACGCCCACGCCCCTTATAAATTGAATAAATTCATAAAATAATAAACAAATATTTTAAAACTAAATACGGAGAATAATTGTCGTAAATTTTGAGTTAGTGTTGACGAAAAAGCTCGGCAGCTTCCATCACTGGTGCTAATGGGATCACAGTTATGATAAACGGCGTAAGCCTCCAGACCCATGTATCTGCAACAACTCAGGAGGAAAATGAGCAGCAAAGTGAAGAACAACATGCAACGTTTGGCATCCTCATAGCTCATAGGGCAGTGAGAGGAAACGCTGAATAGAGATTTGATTGACATGAGAGGATTGCAATTTGTGCAGCGTGCCGCCCACTATGACAGACAACATGGACAAACGCACAGTGGGATCCATCTGCGAGTCGGTACCAAAAGATTAAGTGGAAAATCCTGAATCAAATGGGACTTACTCTGGCGCATTTAGCTTTTCACTCTCCTTATTGCGCTGCAGCACAACTGGCAGTCCGCTCACATCGTAGGTGGCCTTAATGCACACCGCCAAAATGGAGCCAAACATCCCGAAACTCTGTATGAAATCTGACCAAATAACGGCCTTCAGTCCACCCTGCAAAATGCGGCAAGTTGATAACAGTTGGTAGCAACATTTAGTTAAGCCTCACCACACACGTGTAGAAATATCAAATGATGCAGACAATGGGTGTAATTACATAGATGCCAGTGCCAGTAACTGGAAGCAGGAACAAACAGTAAACATATCGGGATAGACAGAGGAATAAAAACTTACCCTGACTAAAGGTGATGGCAGGAATATACATGCAAAGAGGCAGCCAGATTGTCTGAGGAAAGGAGAAACTAAACTACTAACCGTATCCACTTTAAAAAGCACAGCTCCTAAACTCTAATGTTAGCGCCATATCGCAATCGAAAGTACCAAAGTGAGTAAAAGAATTGGAGTTAATTTTGCAAAATAACCACTAAAAACAATAGTTAATTGCATGTATCATGCATAAAGAATTTATCCAGTGTAATTTAAACATCATGCTCTCACTTAATAGTTAATTTTATTGATAAGTACATTGGGTCTCGTCGAGAGATTTTCTCTAACATTTCTCATTGAAATTCGTCAGTGTATTCTCTTCCAGTTGCACGCTGGCATAGTTGGACTTGTAGAATCTGCGAATGCAGGGGGAGAGCAGCTCTAGGTCCACATCTTCGGGTTTATTGCGGCCAAAGAAGAAACCGGCCAGTTGGGCCACCACAACAGCCACGGCAGCCCCAATCATGGAGTAAAACATGAAGGAAACATGATAGATCTCCTCACCAAAGCTCAAGGAACTTTGAAAATAGATTATCAGCTTAGAATTTGCAGTGTAGTTATGAAGGTAAACATACTTACTTATGCTCTACCGTTGGTCTGGTGGCATTATCTGGCGTCACCATGGGACGCTCAAACTCATAGGTGCAGCCATCCGTGCTCACCGGCTTGGTCTGCCACTGCATCTCGCCGGAGGTGACAGCCATTTGGGCGGAAAGGCACAGCCAGGCCATGAAGAAAAACGAAACAACGGTGCCCAACAGTGCGCTCTAAAAAATACAGAAAATTTTCAAAGACTGCCCAAAAACTTCCTGAAAAATTCCAACCTTTGAGTTGATGCTTGGGATTAGCAATCCCATGACAAACAGCGCCACCAGCGGACCATTGACAATTGCACCGACGGTCATGGACAGCTGCATCACGTGAGTGCCCATGCGCTCGACCACAAATACGAGGGCCACCGAGAGCACCCCAATAATGACCGTGCAGAGGCGCACGGTGATGGCAACCTCATGCTCCGTCATGGATTTCTTGCGCAATGGCTTTATGTAATCCTCTAGAAAGACAGCAGCCAGTGAGTTGAGACCCGTGGACAGAGAGCTGAGTGCAGCACTAAAAACACCAGCCACAAACATGCCGGGAACGCCAGGAAATGAGCTAAGAGACTGCACCACGAGAAGAGGGACTAACTGATCCTTGGCCATAGCCAGCTGTAAGGAATGTTAACCCATGAGCAATGCCCAATTCAAAGAGTTGTTTCCCCACCTTTGTAGTCAGTGGATCGCAGTCGTAGTATGTGGCATACAGCAAAAGTCCGTTGTACAGGCAAACCGCATTGAGAACCGTCAAACCGACAATAAAGATGAGCGAAGTCTGAGCCATCTCCTTCTTGCCGGGCAGCGAGTTATACCGTTGTATAATGATCTGATTGCATCCTAAGGCATAGGCATTATGGCCCACATTACCCAACAACATGGCCAGCATGGACATGCGTACTTTGGGATCAAAAGTCCATCTGAATGATACCGGAAAAAAAATCACAGGGCAAGGAGACATACAAAAACTGACATGCGAAATAAATAATAATTTTTTTCATTGAAATCCTTCACCTACTCCGGCCACTCAAGACGTCCGCTGTCAAAGTTGCGTTGAATAACAACACCCAGGCCACCCACATCCATGGTACCCTTGATAATGACAAAGAAAATGGCAATGACCATAACGAAGGTCTGGATCACATCTGTCCAAACAACGGCCTTCAACCCACCGGCAGTTGTGTAGAAAATGCAAACAACGCATACGATGGGTGTGATGATGTGTATATTTATGCCGGTGACTGTAAAAATTATTCAAAATTACAGATCTCCCAGTTTTTTCACTCGTTCAGTGTATTAATTAACTGCAAGTCGACATACCTTGATTGAACGCCAGTGCCGGGACAAAGATGACAATGGGCAGCCAGATGAGCTACAAAAACGGGGATTTAAAGGAAGTGCAAGGATATTTCTGGAACACTTGAGAATATTCTTCTACTTTTTTCTTGTTTTTAGTTCAAAATTATATTCAACTTACATTTGAGCACGTGAAGAGTGTGGATCCCAGCAGTCGTACCGACTTGTTAAAGCGCATCTCAAAGTACTGTAAATATTTTTTGTTTTTTCCATTGGTGCTGTGGCATTTTGGTTAACACAATAAAACATTGCCTACCCACACACGGACACACAAACACACATACGTACACGCAAACGTACTCGGGACACATGGAATGTGGCTGTGCGGCTAATATGCGCATACATAATTGAATATTACTAATATGCCAGCGTGCCTGTGTTAACTTATAACCTACAACTAGCAAACTATACTAATACTATATACTAATTTCCGCATGTCAGTCGAGATAATTGGCATTGTTCGGGCTTATTTGTAGCTGGACATTGCGTAAGCACCCAAACCCCACGATGGTTCGATGTCTATTCGAATAGCAAAATAATAAAGCAGATCACATCGAACTACCCAACGTTATTTCAACAGCATGCAAATAAACTGGGAGTAAAAAATACTTTCAGCTGATTGTAGTTGCTCTTCCACTGCCTCTAGCTCTGCCTCTGCCTCTAACAGTGTTTTGTACGGTGGAAATACTTGTTTACACCTTCAATTTGACTAAGACAATAACATGCCGACAAGTATTATAGCAAATACAGCAAAAATTAAGATGTTAAGAATGCGGACGCAAACTCCAACTCGACTCGGACGACGTTAAGCTTACCTCATAGGTGGATGTCAGCTGCAGATTGCAGAACACCGGCAGGAAAATGTACCACGAAATGGCGCCTGAGATGGCCAGGGTGACCAGAATGAAGGCGTATTGTGTGCCATAGACATAAATCTCCGTCGAAGTGCCCAGCAGGGAAATGCCCGAGACGAAGCTGGAGAGAGAGAGGGGTAAAATATTAGTGTAGGTCTTTTTATTAAAGCCAAAATTTAATTTTCCTTTTAAAGCAATCAATTTTAAATTAATGTTAAATTCTCAGACTTGAAGTTTTGCCGAGAGGGTGAAAAAAATGTAAGTCAAAAATTTAGCCAGAAAAGCCCTGGTTCTGGTAAAAATCGGTTGGATTTTGACCAACAGCAAATATGGCGCAAATGGTAATCGGGCCAACAGTCTGACGTCTGTCTACGTAAGACATGTTCTCTGGCCGTGCATGCCACAATCTGATTTTAATGATTAAAGTTCAAAACATTAATAATTTTTCACAAAATAAATGATTTGCCAGAACAGCACAGCCAGAACGTCACAACTTATGTACCCGGTACTCAGTAGAACATCTGTAACTTAAAAGTGTCTTTTCTTAAAATTTACATTTTTACAATTTCTCTACATCTGTCATCTACATCTACATCAGTTCTCACGCCAACGCGCTCTTTTAGCTCGCCCCTTCCCAAGACCCGCACACTACACGTAGCAGCGTGTGGATGAGAGAATGTAAAAAAAAAATGTTAGCCACTTCAAATAATTTCTTCATTCTGGCTATAATAATGATCCTATCGGATCCCAATTCGGCATTCTGATCGATATGGTCATTACCTACGGAATGGCGTTTTTAGTTTTCTTTTATCTTCAAAACTGTAGATTTGGGAGGTCTTCGCCCTTTTGCGGAGGCGGAAGGGGGCGTGGCTCATTTTTGAAATACACTTGTAACAGTGTAAACAAACATAAGTCTGGATGCAAAACTTGGTTGCTTTATCTCTTATGGTCTCTGAGTACTAGGCGCACATAAGGAAGGACAGACGCACAACGGACGGACGGACGGACAGACAGACATGGCTCTATCGACTCGGCTATTAATGCTGATCAAGAATATATATACTTTATGGGGTCGGAAACGTTTCCTTCTGTGAGTTAAATACATCCGTTATTCCCCACAAATACAATATACCCATTTACTCTTCGAGTACCGGGTATAAAAACCGAAAAAAAATTTCAAAACCAAAAGAGAAATGCCATTAAAAGTTGATAACAAGCGGCGTGAGAGTATGCAGACAAGCACACACACACACCAACTCACAGAATCACACGCATACTTCTACTTGAAAAATTGAAAAAATGATATCCCTGCCAAAAAAAAGAGAGCAGAGCAGCAGCAAAAAAATTAAGGGCCATGTAATTGCGATTCAAAGCACGTTGGCCAAATTTGTTGCAAAAAGCAAACGATAAAAAATACTCGTAGGATGCCATAACAATAAAAGGCGCACAAAACAATTGTCAGCACCCTGAAAAGGAAGGCCCAGGCAATTGACCAAGGACCTGTCGGCGGCTGGGTCATTAATGATGAGACAAAACACGCCTAAGAAAAAACGGGTCGGGCCGTTCCGCACCCGACGAAAGGTGCTTGACCGAAAACGTGTCAAAGAAAGTCTGATCGCCGAACAATATGAATAGGAATAGCAATGACAATTCCAACACCAAAGAAAAAAAGTAATTTTGGCAAATTATTTGAGTTTTTGCGGGCGGGCATAAGTTTAAATAACTTCAATTTGACTGAGACACAGAGAGATGTTAAGTTGTATTTATAATCACAGATACGCCAGATACTCTTTAGTAGATATATTTACTTGCCAAAAAGTTTCACACAGATACGCTAGATCCGCTTTCGTAGAAATATTTACTTTCCAAAAAGTTGCGCGAAGCCAGCACAATCAGCATTATCCTCATTATCCTCATCATCATCATCGGCCATAATAGGCTTGCCCCTGACAATAAATATTGTTTACGTTATGCGGGTTGGGCTTGAGAACTTTTAAATGCATTTTTTTGCTATTTGGCCAGACCAAACAGTGCTAGACGAAGGTCTGGTCGCTGGAAAATATTTTAGATTGTTTTGCCCAGGGGATAAGCCAAGGCAGCAGCTAACGCATTGCGATCATTTGTGCAAATATTATTTATAGAGTTCAACTGAATGCACGGTTTGAACTTTTAAAGTTCCTCACAATAGATACCTCAAATTTCAGTTCAAATAAACCAAAATTATATAAATTCCCACCCAATTTTTAGGATTATCTTTTAAGAGATTTAAAGCCCTAATTAAGTATTGTGCAAAATCCATTAAAGCGCACACATTAAACCAACTCAATCTATATCTCTATCATGCTGGCCAGGTCAAAGCAATTAAGTGCCAACATATTTTGTATCCTAAAAAAAGGACATCTACATTTACATAGACAACTTTAAGCGTAACTCACCTGGCCACCAGTGACAGTGCGACCGGAAACACTTTCATTTGACGACCGCCTACAAGATAATCCAATGCCTCAGAGCCGCGTCGCTCCTCCACGCCAGCCGCACCAGCCTCATCCTTGCAAGCCAGCCCCTGGCCGCCCTTCTTCTTCTTGGACTTTTGCTTCTTTTCGATGAAACCGAAATAGATGCCGATGACGGCGCAGACCGCCAGCATGACTATGAACACCATATAGTCGACCACACCAAAGTGCTGCAGCGTCTCGCCTAAATCCTTCACGCTGAGTTTCTCTTCCGGGCCGCCCATGGTGGCGGGAGCGGGAGTTGGAGTGAATGAGGAAATGGACGATTGAGTGGGCATTGGGTTGCGAAGCAGGGCACTGGGGCTGTCTGAGTTTGAAGCCGTGCTGCTAAATATGGCTTCCACTGTCCTCACAGTCGCACTGGTTATGGCAGTGGTCGGGCTGCCAGTGGCTGACATTATTTCCTGGACCACAAGTTGATTTTATGTATTTTATTTTTATTGACTTCCAGCCGCGTTCAATCGCGTTCACTTTAATGCCTTAGGATTTTATTACTTTTTACTTTTGTATTAGTTTAGGGTACTGCGCAACGGTTTCGGTTTATCATTAGGAATTTTGTCAGCGCTTCCTAATAGAGGACATTTTATTAACTGAAAAACAAAACTGCAAGTTATTCCGTAGCTCTTTGAGTGTCAGTGTGAGCAGTACACACGGCGAGCAGTTTGATTTTTACTTTTTTTACAGACAAGCAGAGCACACACAAGTGTTTGCTCCAAATCCTCGCTGTACACTGATCTCAATTAAGCGACCCTAGTGTGCCGTTAGAGATCTCCATGAGATCTTATCATGACAAACCAGCAGCGACCGACTGACCTCCCTCCCTCTCATCACATAATTCAAGCAAATCTTGTATCGTGTGGTCTGGCGGGGGCTTTGTGTAAAGCTTTATCACCTAATTTGCCAGGGGCATGTCAGGCATGTCGGCAACTGACAGAGGCATACTCTACAGTTAGATACTTGTAGAAAAGTGCACACCCCCATCTGCTGTCGCAAGTACTTAAGATGTGTCTGCCATTAGATCTTCCAGATTGTAAATTACTTTCTTTATACACGAACGTGGCGACGCTCGGTAATATATTTAAACACTTATACCCACAAAGATTTTGTTGAGTCAAATCCTATACTTTTGTTTAACAAGTTTTACAACATCAAACGAGAAGGGACGGGTGAGACGCTTCTTACGCGTCACAACACGGCACTCAGTACTACATCTGCACCTTAGCGGTGTTTTGTCTTATGTTAAATTTTTTCTTCATCTGGCATCTACATCTACAAGACTTCTTACACCAACACGCTCCTTTAGCCGCCCCCCTTCCCTAGAACCACACACTGCAGACTCGCGGCAGAGGCAGAGGCCGCACACTGCGCGAAGCAGTATGTGAATGAGAGAATGTGAACAAACCAACAAAAGCTGCGGGACGGGGTGGATATAGCTACTGCAAATAAATTTATTCATTATGGCTATAATAATGATCCAATCGGATACCAATTTGGTGATCTGATAGATATGGTCATTCCCACAAATACAATATACCCTTATACTTTATTTACTCTTCGAGTACCGGGTATAAAAATGGGGTAAAATTCCATTAAAATATACACCCAGGCGGGGTGCGTCACTTGACTGCGGCTACAGCTACGGATACGTGTTCTATTTGGTTTTAGCGAGTGGCTAATGGTTATCACAACAATTGAGCAAAATATATGGGCAAGGATAGCTGATCTATGTAGGTTTTTATTTTGCCCAAGACATTGTATTTGTCGTAGATTAAGGCGACCCTTAAGAACTCAGTTTAGTATTTGTTGAATGCGCCAGGCCAAGGAAAAGGCGCATGACTTCTCTTGGTATTAAATAAGTTTCTAAAAAGGAATCTGCAGTTTGTTTATTTGTGCATTTTTCTGCCAGAAAATGGATTCAAGCTATCGAACCGGATGCGACACAAATCGAATAGGGAAAATGGTCAGAGCGGCGTTAGCTAAGCGTTAAAATGCCCAAATTGGCTATATCCGACTGACATGAAACTGTGCAACTCCAGCAATTTCAACTCTTGGCTGACTGTGACACCCAGCTCAAGTGCAAAAGTGAAGAAAAAGATTGACACTCGCACTCGCATTGATGCCATACGCTGTTTCACGCTCTATTGGAATTAATGCACATTATTGGGCGCACAAAGGCAAAGTAATGTGCCTCGGAATTGTGCAGCAATTTGGGCTAACAGTCAACTGAAACACACAGTCCAAGCTGCTGCACTAATTGGTTTTGGACAATCACTTACAACACTTACAATCGATGAAAGATTGTGGCACGAAACTAAAAAAATTGAAGTTTGGGGCAGCCGTAACTGAAAGGATGGAAAGAAAAAACAAAGTACAAGCACCTTAAATGATTACACAACAGTTGTTAAATGTATGTGAACTTTGTTGTTAGTTGTACCCCCATCACAGCGTTTAAATAAATCAAATTTATAAGAACCCATCCAAGGACAAAATTATATTACATTTACAATAAAAGAAGAAAAGGTGGGAAAAAAATCAAGTTTTAGTAAATAAATCTATATCGTATTTAAATGTACACCTTAAAGTAAATTATTTATTGAACATGGGTAGGTTTTTGTGGCATTTTCATCAAAGTTAAATACAGCGATGAGAAAGAGATTTTAGGCTAAGTTAGAAATGCAATCGAGGCAAATGTTCGTTCGTTCATGTGTTTGAACTGTAGTAAATCCATTGGAATATATCTAGGCAATAAGTGTTTTATGAAAATAATTATTTAAAATTGATGTAGCGAAATACTTAATGCTCTATTAAACTTCATCAGGCATCTGAAATCAAAAAAAAATGTAGGACATACCCAGAAAACATCCCATTCTCATTATAATACAAAAATCTGTAACTTTAAAGCATATGGAAACTACATACAAACATAAATTCATACATACATATAAACACAATAAAAAAACGAGAAGGGACGTGTGAGACGCTTCTTACGCGTCACAACTTTTATAACCGGCACTCAGGACTACATCTAGATGTAGAAGACATCGCCAACCACTAGATATCGTTCACATTAGAGAACACTAGGTAAAAAGCCTAAAAAATTGGATCAGTTAATCGTATTTTCCAATTTATAAGATATTTAAAACAGCAATACAATTGGTACTTTTTCCCTGCACATTCTGTGCAATAATGACCGCTAGGTTTCATGGCAGATTTTTCGAAAGTGGCGCCATCTATGAAAATTTCTGGTACGCAACTTTGATGGTCACTCTTTTTCTAATACAGAGCGTTAAAAACCGAGTCTTGGTTTTAACTTTTAAAAATGCGCTTTTGGCCACTGTTTCCGCAACTCCTCGCAACCAGTTCGGAATCAAAATCTCGAAATAAATAGCCAAGTGCTGCTGGTTCGACCGAGTCGGAATTCAAATCAATTTAATCTCTTCTTCTTTTCAATTTCGATATTCACCTATTAAATGCATGTTCTTCCTCTTTCTCTATCGTATTCACATATCACATGTATGTTCTATAGCAACAAGTTTCTGTCAGTATGTCGTAAATGCAACAATTCAATAGCTTAATGCTACAAATTCATTTTACTTATACAAAATACTAATTGCTACGGGCCATAATTTGGCTAATTGGCGTAAACAGCCACCAAAAGTGGTCATTGGGACAATAGTGCATCTGCACCTCAGCGGTGTTTTGTCAAATTTTAAATAGGCAGGGGCCGAGTGAAGCAGAAGCAGAGTGTGAATGAGAGAATGTGAAAGGAACAACAAAAGCTGCTGGACAGGGTGGGGTTAGCCACAGCAAATTAATTTCTTTATTCTGGCTATAATAATTTGGTGATCTGATAGATATGGCCATTCCCTACGGAATGGCGTTTTTAGTTTCCTTTTATCTTCAAAATTGTAGGTTTGGAAGGTTTTCGCCCTTTTTTGGGGGCTGAAGTGGGCGGGACTAATTTTTGAAATACACTGGTTTCAGTGTGAGCATACAGCAGTCTGGAGCCAAAATTTGGTGGCTCTAGCTCTTATAGTCTCTGCGAACAAGCCGACAAACACACGACGGACAGACAGACATGGTTCTATCGACTCGGCTATTGATGCTGATCTAGAATATATATACTTTATGGGGTCGGAAACGCTTCCTTCTGTGCGTTACATACAACCGTTATTCGCACAAATACAATATACCCTATTTACTCTTCGAGTACTGGGTATAAAAAGAAACAAAAATGTGTAGATACCGATGAATAACGAGAAGGGACGTGTGAGATGCTTCTTTCGAGTCACAACTTTGTGACGTCGCACAATTTTGTAGTATGTAAGTAGTTATAATTGGTAGATATATAAGTTCTTTATAAAGGGGAAATTACGAAGTCTTTGTTATATATATAGGGTTAAGTTTTCACTAAGAAAGTTACTTGTTTTATATATTTAGGAGAGGTATCATGAAGTCTTTATTATTAAGTTTATAATTTTCCATTATTAGTTTCTAAGTTATATTATAAGGTGAAATTTTGAAGTCATAATTTAAGTTCGCGGCCCACAGTAGCCAACAGCAGAGCAGAGCAAAGAGAACGGCGACGCGAACCAACAGCAGCAGAGCCAAAGAGAACGACGAAGTGAGCCAGCAGCCCGAGAGCGGCCAACAGCAGAGCAGAGCAAAGAGAACGGCGACGCGAGCCAACAGCAGCAGATCAGAGCAAAGAGAACGGCGACGCGAGCCAACAGCAGCAGATCAGAGAAAAGAGAACGGCGACGCGAACCAACAGCAGCAGAGCCAAAGAGAACGACGAAGTGAGGCAGAAGCCCGAGAGCGGCCAGCAGCAGAGCAGCAGAACGAAACGAGAAGGACGACGAGAACCAGCAGCAGAGCGGCAGAAGCAGAGCCAGATATCAACGCCGAGAGCCAGCAGCAGAGCAGCAGAGCGAGAGAGCAAGGGCGCCGGCAGCAGCCCGAGAGCCACGGGCGTGGGCTGCGCAGCCCGGACAAGGGACCGCAGCTAAGGGCTCGCGATCGCCACACAGAGCTCGCCTCGGGGAGAAATGTTTCGAACACCGGGAGGACCAGTCGAGATCGCTGCGGCGACAAAAGTGAAACGGGTAAAAAGTGCGCCATAACCCCAATGTTGCCCACGAGAGGCTCACGACCACGTGCCCAAGAGAGGCTCAAGACCACGTGCCCACGAGAGGCTCAAGACACCGAGCGCCAGGCGAGGAGACAAAAGGACCGATAGGCTCGAAAGGATCTGGTAAGCGAGGCTGTGGGCCTCACCCTTTTTCTATTACGACTTAGTTTGGTGCGACGTAGGTAGGGACTTAGGAAATTTAAGTACATACGGCGGTAAGACAGGGAAAAGACAAGGAAAAAAATATGAAATAAAGATACCAGAATAAAGAAACAAAACTAAACAATGTGCTCGTGTGTAACAGTGTAAATTTAACCCTTTCCCCCTCCCAAAGTGCAAGACGGTAAGTGTGGTCGCCCACCGTTGGAGGCTCCGCTGGGCTGGTCGCAGGTCACTACCGCGCCAGACCGCGGGCTCTCAAACGGCGCGTGCCTGCCTCCGAAACGGGTGGTGCCTAGGTACTACCAGGGGCGCTCGCGTCGGAGCAGACAGGGGCGGCTACACTGCCAGAAGGCGTCTCCACTAACCACCGGATGACCGGTGTCAATCAGGTTCCCTTTCCGCCCCATAAGCCCACCTTTCCACACACGGCG